GTACTGCGTAGTGACTCTTCCAAGGAACAAACCCTTATAGCGCCCTATGAAGCTGCAACATACCGACCGGACGCCCACCGCGCCCGCCCGCCCACAAATGGACGACCGTACCTGATGCTCGTATTGCTTCATTTGCGAAGTAAAATATGAAGCGAAGGGATTGATATGAAGCGGCCGCGGTGCTGCATGGATATATGAGTACATACGTGCAGCCGTATCTACCGTAGCGGTTATTGGCAAGATGCCTACGGGAAACTCGTCCGAAATTACTTTCTGAGTCATGAAAACGAAGGCTTTCTTCGCAGGTTTTTGACCGTTTCACTTCGTTTTTTGCCATTTTGCCACTATTTAGCACTCTGCTAGCATTTTAGACCTAGTTCAAAGTTATCGTGCCATATGCCTTCAAGATTTACCGCTATCCAAATACTGTTATGATTCGATTAACAACTACAATGTCAACAGCAGAAACGGACCATTTTTCCAGAGTAATCGTAGGACATAACTGCGAAAGGCACATGACTCAAGACCACTTTCAGCTCCGGCGGATCAGAGAACTCTCTGATGTTTGTCACTTCGGAATTCATCAAATTAACCTGAAAATGAGACTTATAATCAAAATATGAGATAGAAAAAAATGAAACAACTGATGAAATTACGCTTAAGGAGTAATCTTGCCCGGCCTTCATTACTAGCAAAAATTTCTGAGGGCACGCTTCACTATAAAGAATCAGCGGAATTTGAATACGAACGTGAGGTGCCGTCCAACTTAAAAATAAAAGGAAGAGACAGAAAGCGTGGAAAACACTTCATGTAAGACCCCTGTTGGGGAATTATGTGAGCACAAGGCGAAGAAACACTTGCCAACGTGCCAAGCCGCTGGCGTTATTTGGGCAGACACTTTCTGCCATTAGCGGAAATTTCTGCAAAACACGACCCTCATCGGCATTTCCTCTCCTGCTACGAACTCTTCTCCCTGCACACCCCTCCCCCATCCAGCAAGATCTCAACTTTCCATCAATTCTCCAGTTTTTTTAATTCCTCTATTTTTCCTCAAAAAATGCCATTGGACGTGGGTGGACGAACACGGCGCAGTCAAGTGCTTGGAACAGTGGAAAGGAGAAAAACTAATGGAACCATCTCTCTAAAACACTTTTTAAAGTTGAAGGCGATCTCCCTCTCCAGCGATCAAATAAGAATCTCTCCCCTCGCTGACCCTCCCCTAACATACGACGTGCCCTGGGCGTTACCACAACGCGCTTCCGAGCAGCGAAAGTGTACCTCGCAGACTGTGCCGCATCGCACCGGGAAGTCAATCTACATATCAGGTAATCGCGGACTGTGTCTTTAAGTTTTCTAGGATGGGCCATGCATTTTTGACTCCATCCGAGCGTACAATGCCTCCTTTGCCACCATACAGAACCTGGATTCAATACTCACTTCAATAAGTGACAAAGACTTGAAGATGTCATTCGATGATGGAAATGTGTTCGTGAACATTTTCCTAAACCTTGCTGTCAGAAGGCTTTGTACCGGTTCTATCTCACCACCGACGTCATTATCACCACTGATGTAGATCGTCTGAAACAAGCAAAGCGAAAGTAAAATAAATATAAGCGATAAAAAATAAAACCATTATTTCTGGCTGAACTTGGACACTATTCGGCTAGAGGTGGGGGAGGCATTTTGCACCTGTTGGTTCGTCAATTCCCAGATTCCTCCTGAGTGAGACCTGTAAACTCTGTTGAAGCTGCGAAAGGGTACAAGTTAGCCTGTTTAGCTTCAAGAATTTAAGGTTCTCACCACACTGAGCCGAACTGCGCCCAGACTTGTTTGGGATGTCACACATGTGGCTTTCATTCAGATAGGACCGGCACTTCCGACATATGCTGCGAGTCAGTATTTTCACGCTCCCAGACGACTGTGGTATCACCGTTCTTAGTGGGTAGAAGTCTCGGATGGACTGGGCGGGAGCCCATCTAGGAGCAGGGCACATTCTGCCACCATGGAGAGTTTTTAGAAAACCGATTCAGCAAAATTCTTCCTCCGACATCTCACCAGGTTTCCCCGAATTTCTGCCATTTTTTTTAAACCTTTCATAAAATTTTCCAGCTGCACTTCGGAGTTTTGTCAAGGTTAAGGAGGATGGGAAGAAAATTCGCTACGACTTCTGTTTTCAGCGATGAAATTGTAGTTGCAGAAATTTGCCAGCGCCAGCAAGAAGTACTGAGGGGGGAGGGGGCGGGGAAGGAGTGAAGACGTGAAACAGGAAAAATCAACTATCAACAAATAAAATTCTCAGACCGAATGAGACCCTCCCTCCCTCAAGCGAGCAAACAAAACCTCCTAGGAACTGCCCAAAGTTCGAGTGCCCTGTCTCAGAATCGGCGGCCTCCGTGGGGGTAAGCGGGCCAGTCGCTAGCACATCATCTCTCCTCCAAGGTAGAAATAAGATCGTAAGAAAGTGGCTCATACAGGGATGTTTGTGTCGAAGATGGCTTTGAATCTGTCAATCGTCCATTGAAATTCTGTATCGCTAGCCTCAACACCTTCATCGAATAGATCGCCAAGAAAAATGATCAAGTCGGGGTTAGTAGCCGACACGGCATGGGAAAATCCTTTTGAAAGGAACCTGAACACATAATTTTTTTGACCTCTTTGTCGTTCGAGAGAAAAGAAGAGGGTCTTACCGATCGCAATCCCATCTCGTCAACGGCCCCGCCATGTGGTTCTCATTCTTGAATCCGACCAGCTGGGGATCGGCCACGATAAGTATCCCTAGAGATCTTGCTTTGTCAAATTTCGGTTGAGGGACATTCCAATACAATCTCGAATGGTAGTAGCTGAGCGATTCTCCCCATATGATGAACAACAATAAGAGCAACTGAAACTGAAAACATGCACACTTAAGCCTTCAACCGAATAAAATCAGCAAATTAGCGATTGGGGGGGTATTATTTCATTATCGTTCCCCGAAATATCCAAAATGCTCTTTCACTAGCTTCGATTATAGCGGTTATAGTCTCGTTCGCCGCGGATGGTGGGGCGTGTCAGCGCGGCTGCGTTTGGCGCGGCGCCCACTCGTTTTTTTCTCTTTTTTTTCTTTCGGCAAGCTATGAGACTGCATCATATCGTTCGTATAAATCGCTTTCCTCCAGTTGTTCTCATTTACCCTCTTCAGCAACTGATGAAGAATGGACTGGCGCAGCATCAAACGCAGCCGCGCTGACATGCCCATCACCCGCGGCGAACGAGACGTATTAAGTGCTCTTCCCGAGAGCAGTTTCCTCTCCTTTGGCGTTAATACATGGTCAACAAATTCCACCAAACTCGTAATGAACTCTCAATTATATCTGTTCTGAGGTTCCGATTGGAGTAGGCGTTCACATTCTATGCCGTTAGCACCATTTGGTGCCAGAATGATGCCTATGCCGGGCTAAAGTTTAGGCACACCGAAAGACTGAGCCGCGTCCGCTCTGGCCGCCCCTTGGACTTTTCGTTTGGCTGTGCGCTAGGGTTGAGTCTGGAAGAAGTTTATCTGTTCCTTTAACGGTCAGCCCTAACAGAGCACCAAATAGGGCCGTCGCCCAAAGGTAGATCGACTTTCTCGGGCAAGAAAAGAAAGATGTCGGTGCAGCCTTTCCCCTGCCCCAAAAGTCCGATGTGCTGCGGATCCCCACCTCATCCCACCTACCATCTCCGTAATATCCCATCTACCATTTCCGTAATTTTTCAAACTTCCTAAAACTTTTTAAATTTTCCAAATTTCCATTACCCACCTCCTCAAAAAATGCTGTCGAGGAGAGGAAGAGGAGGGGGGGGAGGTCTAGACTGGCGGCGCTCCTTCTGTCGCAGCTCGGGGAATTTTCATCAAGGCCAGATACCACCCTCATCGACCAAATACGACCCATCCACTCAGGGACCAAGTACGTCCCCTCTGATGAGACTCACCCAACGATGCTATATGCTCACCAGTTAACCATCTCCAAAGTTCTAGAAAGCTTTGTTGGTTTATGGAGGTTGCATCCACAATTCCCAAGCTACACTGGCAATACCCTTTGCAAGTCTTTCGTCTCAGCCAGTATCACCATTTGGAGAAAAAACCGAATGTTCTATTGCGATAACTGTTGTTTTACGCCGCAGTTCGCGCTCCGAAAGCTATCACAAGAATGCTTGATATGGGCAAAAGTCTTCCCCAGGCGGGAGTCGAACCCGCACCTCACGCTTTCCGGGCGAGTGCGCTATCCGTTATGCCACCTACCAAATGCCTTCACAAAAGGCCTACAAAAAACAAACAAGGCAAAGATATAGATAGGAACAAGATATTACCTGGATAAAATGATGAAAATGATTCTGAAAAAGCTACGTCGACGTAGACGAATCAGGGACATCCCGGTTCATTCCGACAATCTTTTCCTTGTGTGGTACCACTCATTCGTTTTCCACGATAGTTCCGAAATTAAACTGCAATTTCTCCATTAAAAAAAGTTCACACGGATACTTCCAATTTCAGTCCTTCGAATGGTGATGGACATTGGTCGAGGTACAGTTGTTATCACTGTAGTCAGTCGGGGGTGTCACCTCAGCGTGACAGCATGGTCTCCGACGGTGCACCAGTCTTTCCCAGTCAGGGTGCAGCATCGTGAGTGTGAAATAGTGATGTAGGTACGGCTCTCCCCCCTCGAGGGAGGGTGTCAGTACAATCCCCCCCCCACCTGAAAGAGGGTCTCGGTACGACCCCAGTCCTTCCCAACACCTACCTACCAATTTCCCACATTTTTCAAAGTCAACAACCGGGAAAAATTTTTCCCAACGCGGCAAATTCCTCTCAAAGCCACATACGACCCCTCCCCCTCTCAACGCAAATACCGAGACGCACCCAGCGGAGACGTTACGATCTCCCCCCCCCCCCTGGTGTGTATTCCACGCAACTTACCTGTTTCCGTAGTCGCTTGCGGCTTCGGGCGCTCAATGAGTGGTGGGAAAGGAGCTGGCATCGCGCCAAACCCGCTCCGCGCCGACATGCCCCGAATGACTTCAGTGATAACGCCTGTAGGCGTTGATTAATTAAGCCTGCTAAAGACTACTACAAGACTGACTCTCTGCGGCAGGGTAGACAATCGAAATGGATGAATGGCAGTTGTCAGTTTCGACACCGCGCCTCCCCCCAACTTTCCCGCAAGGAGGGTTCCGTACAGCCCTTTTCAAAAACCAACCGCGTGCAACAGCCAACCATTCGATATCCTCTTTCCCAAACTCCCCATCCAGGCTTCCTCCTGAACCTTCCTGTAAGGAAAAAAAAACTCATTAGTCTACTGAAGCATGGTCTAACACATACCGTTCTGTTTTCATAATGAAATACCATAAATACAAGGGGCCTCACTTGGCTTAACCGAAGCGAACTCAATTAGCCGACGAAGCACAACGTCAGAATGAAAAGGAAAAAAAGTGTGAATCAACGTAACGAACTGAAAACCTTACAGTAAGCAGCTACGGAAAAAAGCTCACGATGTCCTGCCCTTGCCGTGACCACGATTATATGATGTTAGAATATACCTTATGAAATAATATAAGTAATAGAGAAGGCGAAAAGCATAAAGGCAGTGTGTAGGGGAATTCCAAGAGATCACATTCAGGACCTTTGTCGCATGAACAACAGTGGAAGTGGACCTCGAATAAATCCCCTCGAGGTGAACCTTTCAAGCAAAACAGCATCCATTGTGAAAATAATCACAACGCGGGAAGGGGTCGTAGTTCCAGCTCGCCTTGAAGATGAATTTCCACTGAAAATATCGTTGAGAAAAGTGGACATACAGTCCGATGAATTTGGCAGGGGAGGAGGTCATGTTGTCAAACTCTTACACAACACGAGTTACTACTGATGCACACGTGAGCTTATCATATCATAATTCACGACACACGATTTAAAATGCAAAAACCGCGAAAAAAATAAAACAGAAACAAAAAACAAAAAACAAAATTTGGGGCAGCTTTGCGAACTGGGGCGTATTGCACATTTTCCACTTCCTATCGATGTGTCCACCCTCGAAAGAACCATTCAGTGGCCTTACAAGAGTTGACAGGTTTTAGCGTGGTGGCTGGACGAGCTTGCTTCAGCTTAACAAGAGTTCACAGGTTCCCTCAGAGTAAGACTTGTAAACCAAAATTAGATCCCCCGTCGGCGAACTAAGCCATATTTTTTGAACCTGGGCAGCTTTCGGATCAGAAAACGACTAGAGAGCCGCTAATTTATTAGAGGGATTGTCCTAGTGAGTGATAACGCCTTTTATGGATTACCTCCGCTATATCATAATACCATTAAGGTTTATGTTGCCTTAAACTCTGAATGGAAGTCAAATATGTACGTAGCCTACTTGAAATGCAATGAACACTTTAAATTCGATTACCACGCGGCCCTGGGTTCAAACCCCGGGCGACTCCCGTCCAGGTCAATCAAGCCCTCTACCCTTCGGGAATGGTTAACTGGTACCCGTATGGGAGGAAAAGAATTTTGATTTGTACATCGGCTGGTTCCGAAAGTCATTGTATAGACCTTAACACATTCAAAATGCCAACACGATTCTGAATTCATGTCAAATGCATGCCGCAACCCGAAAATGGATTCATCAACTGCGAAGTCTTTACCCTTAGCCATTAGAAGCTTCATCCTTTCATCCATTGCCAGCTGGGCGCACTGTATCACCGGCAGAGCCAAGCCAACAAGAAAGGTCGCTACGGTACGCGCAGTGCATGCAACTTTCGAAATCGTGAGGGAGTTGTGTACTCCATGATATGAAGGGTGCCCTCCCTGCAGGGGAAACAGAGTAAGGGTTCAAGGCGAGTCGATCGCGTTTTTTTTTCTCCCTACGAAATGTCTCGCACTAAGTGTCTATTCTAAGAGTGGTGACCTATGGTACTATGCTAAAGTTTACCAAGCAGGATATGGGTATTGTATAGATTCATTTTCTGATCGCTTTGGTGTCCCCTGCAAAGAACCTATTCGGCTTTGATTTAATGGGCGCTGTTCAGCTTGGGGGGGCGCAGTTCGGCGACGGGGGGGGGGGCATTTTGCACTTTTGCTACTTCCCATCGACGTGTCGACCTATCTAGACAGCCTCTTCTCGAGTTGACCGGTTTTAACAGGATGGTTTGACGCCCAGTTTGGATGGGGGGGGGGGACATTGCTCTTCTCTAGTTCAGTCAACTAACAAATGGTGCTGGTGCGAACTCTTGTAGCG